TGGGGGGTGAGAGACGAGTGTTGAGTGAGTGCAGGCGGCCTGCTCTTTAAAAGAGTACAACTGAAACATCAATGAATGGTTTTTGTGTGTGCGTTAGACAAAAGGGCAAAGTGCAGCATTGAAAAGAGTCAAGCTTCACTTTCAAGTGCATGAATAGTGATTTCCGTCAATTTGGAGAGTCCAAGGGAAGATGACTAGGTTTTTAGATATTATAAATCAATTATCACTTCCTTTGGAAAGTCTTTCCAAAAACATTCAACATTTGAAAGTATTTTCAAATATTCAATTAAAAAAAAAAAAAAAAAACAAAAAAAAAAAATGATATACATTTATAAAGGGGTATGTCTCAAAGCATTAACTTCACTACAACATTTTAAAGTATATTTTCCATGCCCTTCACCTTGGAAATTAAATTTGTCATTCCCTTGTAACACCAATAAATATTCGTCGTAGACCCACATGGCGCATTTCTAAACCACAATAAAATTGCAGAATTTTCTTTCTATCCCTTTAACCAAGACCAGTTTTGTTACCATTTAGTACTTTCCGTACAGTTACAGGAAAATTTCAAGATTTTAGCTTCAGCTGTTTCGTCTGGAAGTTGATTCTCAGTCAGTCGATTATTTCACTACTATTCTATATAAATAGGGTGAGATGAAAAAACTGCAACCAACTTCAGACTGCTGTCATTTCTAAGTCACTCGTCCGACAGCTGTTAAAATTATTCCAGTGACAGATCATTATATTGTTATTATTTTTTTGTTGAGAATTTTGCAAAAAAAAGTTACTCGTAATGGAATTCAAGCGTGATAGTGTGATTTCTTAATATTTGGCTGGAAAACCACAAGTGGCTATTGTTAGAGCACTCCAACATTTAAATGTGAATAAATCTTTTGTGTCTCGTACCATCGATCGTTATCGTGATGCTGGTAACGTAGCCCGACGTCAAGAAGGTGGACGGAAGAAAATGGCAACATCAGCAGAAATGGTTCGACAAGTGAAGAAGCGACTTGATCGAACCCCGCGTCGCAGTGGCCGAAAAGTAGCTCGTGACCTGAACATATCGCAATGTTCCATTCGGCATATACTGACAAATGAGCTCGGGGTAAAGCCATTGAAATTCCAAAAAGTGCAAGAACTTATACCGTAACAGAAAGAAAATATAATCAAAAGACCTAAAGAGTTTGCTCGCTTGGCCGAATGTGGTGAACTGCCGAATTCGGTTTTCTCCGATGAGAGAACATTTGTTGTCCAGCAGTTTGTAAACAAACAAAATGATCGTATTTACTTGCCAAAGAGGTCAGCTGAAAATGTACAACTTCGGTTGGCCACCAGACCTCAAGCGCCGACCATGGTGATGGTGGCCCATAACAGCCAATGGTCGCTTTCCAGCCGTGGCCTCAGAACAAATGCCGAATATTGTCGCGAAAATATTCTGAAGGGTGTATTAAAGCATTGGGCACGCAAACATTTTGTCCGCAGACCTTGGCCTTTCCAACAAGACTCAGTACCATCGCACTCAGCACGCGCCACCCAAGAATGGTTACAAAATGAGGTTCCTCGCCTCATTTACAGCGCATAATGGCCACCAAAATCTCCGGATACCAATCCGTTGGCCTATTGTGTCTGGAGTATTTTGGAAAGCAAGGTTGGCACTAAAAAATACCAAAGTGTGATCACCTCAAGCAAGCGCTTCGCTGTGATTGGGCCAAAGTACCGCAGAGCAACATTCGGGCAGCGTGTGACGTTTAAAGGCCGTAATTCGTGCCAAAGGTGACCAATTCGAATAAAACTAAACTTATTTTAAAATGTGATGCTAGTTCCGACATTTTTTGCCTTCATGCAATAAAATTTAAAGACAAAATGTAAAAATTATAACGTTTGGCTTTGTTGCAGTTTTTTTTATCTCACCCTGTAAATGAAATGAGAAAGATTTTTGTGATTAAATTGAAATTCTCCATTTGTGAAGTTTGAAAATTTAAAGGATCTTCTTTCTTTTATTTAAAAAGCAATAAAAAATCTCTATTTTGAAAAAGTTTTGAGCCAAGATAATGCTTTTAATGCTTGTTAATTTTTTATTCATGCCCACAACCCACATCTTTTAATTTTTAATACCTTCAAAATGATTTGTGTGTTTAACAAAAAGTTATTTACATTTTTCTTTTGTTTATTGTGCAAAAAAATGGACATTGCCTTGCTGTCGTAACTTGAAAATATCCTCAATGCATTTTATTTTTTTATTTATGTTTTTGACCAAGTGACTCCTTGTTTTTTTTTTTTTTTTTCAAAATAAATCACCATAAAGAAGTACGTGTGAGGGACTTTTTTTATTATTCGCCATCAATGTATAAAAATAAACATTACAAAATTTAAAGGTAAACAATTCAATCGGACGTGTTTGTCGTTCTCCCCAATAAATTATCAGTCCAAATAATGATTCATAGATCAATTAACACTATTTTAATGACGGTCAATAAATACTGGGAGGAGGAGGAGAGGGATAGTAACAAAGGGGAAAACAAAAGAGAATTACAATCAATTAGTTATTATTATATGTGTGTCATGAGAAATGGAAGGGAATCGATAAGACAACTGATAAATTTCCCAAAAGCGAATGAACCTTGTCTTCATCGGCAAGCTTTCGAGAAAATTAACTAATCTTATCAAAGAGACCAAAACAAAACAAAAAACGTACAATCTTCTTTCTTGCAAGTAAATAAAATAAACATTAATTTTGTTAATTTCATTAGAAAGTGGTCATTGAATAATGTTGCTATTTTAAGAGATTTTCTTTGTTTGTGAATTTTGTACTTTTATATATACATATATAGAAAATAATCGAAGCACTTAAATTCTATGATTGTATTAAATATATCTCTACACCAATTTGTTTTTTGAAGACCACCAGAAAGGCTCTTCTGTTTATAGGAGAAATCTCCAAACGATCTTCTTATATGAAGGTCTTGAAAACGCTCTTATTTTAAGGAGGGATTAAAAAAAATCTGCTACCTATAGAAAACCTCTTAAAAGGTCTTCTCTATATAGAGGATCTCCTCCCTAGGGTGAGATAAAAAAACTGCAACAAAGTCAAACGCCATAGTTTTTACATTTTTTTTAATTTTATTTAATGAAATTTTAGCACGAATTATGTCCTTCAAACGGCCAATGAAACCGCCACACGCTGCCCGAATGTTGCTCTGCGGTATTTTGGCCCATTTCCGGCGAAGTGCCTGTTTGAGGTGTTCGGCACTTTGATATTTTTTAGTGCCAACCTTGCTTTCCAAAATACCCCAGACACAATAGTCTAACGGATTGGTATCCGGAGATTTTGGTGTTATGGCGGCCCACACCATCACCATGTCCGGCGCTTGAGTTCTGGTGGCCAACCGAAGGTACAGATTTTCTGCTGACCTTTTTCGGCCAAGCGAAGCAAATCCCTAACTCTTTTGAGTCCTCTTGGCAAGTAAACACGATCATTTTGTTTATTTACAAACAGCTGGACAACGAATGTTTTCTCATCGGAGAAACCTAAACTTGGCAGTTTACCACTTTCGGCCAAGCGAAGCAACTCTTTAGCTCTTTTGAGTTTAGTTTCTTTCTGTTGCCATGTACGTTCTCGCACTTTTTGGAATTTCAATGGCTTTACTCCGAGCTCATTTTTCAATATTTGTTGAATGGAATACTGGGATATGTTCAGCTCACGAGCCACTTTTCGGCCACTGCGACGCGGGTTTTGATCAAGTCGCTTCTTCACTTGTCGAACCATTTCTGCTGATGTTGCTGTTTTCTTCCGTCCACTACCTTGACTTCGGGCTACGCTACCAGTATTACGGTAACGAGCGATGGTACGAGACACAAAAGATTTATTCACATTTGAATGCTGGAGTACTCTAACGGTAGCCACTTGTGGTTTTCCAGTCAAATATAAAGAAATCACGGACGAGTGGCTTTGAAATGACAGCAGTCAGAAGTTGGTTACAGTTTCTTCATCTCACCCTGTATATTGAAGACCTCTTACTTATTTGAAGATTTCGAAAATCTAAAAGTCTTCTCTTTATAGAATACCTTTTAAATGACCTCTATGTACCATAAATTCTTTTGGCAAAAATTACCTCCAAAAAATCTTTGTATATAGAAAAATCCCTTAAAGGTCGTTTGGGCAGAGAAGACCTGTAAAATATCTTCTGTTTGGTTGGAGCGTATTCAAGTGATTTTAAATTGGTGTAGGGTAATCCTGTATATTTTTATTCTCATTATTGTTAATATTTTTATGAATTTAAAAAAATCAAATTTCTTGTAAATTTCAAATAAAAGCAAATATCTAGGTCTATTTTATATATCTATCTCACCATTGAAAAAAATGCAATAAAATTAATTTTTCAAAATATTTTTCTTTATTATTTTATTTTCATGTAAACTTCTGCAAAACAAAACACAATCCCAAACACAAATCAAAACACACATTCCCCATTGTTGTTAACTATAAATTTTTGCGTTTCCAAAATATGGTTGTTGTTGTTGTGCTATATTTCTTTTAATTATATATTTTGTAAATATATAAAATATGTTTATGTACATTGATCCTGCTGCCGTTTGCCGCTGCTGATGTTTGTTTTTGGGGAACGAAAAAACGTTTTATGATCTACCACACCACCACCACCACTGCATAAATTCACCACCTTTTTTGGCACCTCAAATCAACCTCTACATTTTTGAAAAAAAAAAAACAACCATTCATGTTCCGGGCATAAATATTTGGAATTTCTCCCCACCCATCTCCACCCACAACGAATTGTTTTTTTGTGTTATGTTTTGGGTTCTTCTTGTTTTTATTTTCAACCAAAAATGAAATCAACCAACCAACAACAACCCATCATCACCAACAACAACATCACCACCACCAACCAATCAACCACCTCTATTGAAACTACAATTCTTCAACAAAAACCAAAAAAATCTTCAACTCTTTTAAAAAATCCACCAAATTAAATCACCAAAAGGGACCACATCCGGCTTTAATTATTGTAAGTATTTTCCTGGTTTTATTTTTTTTTATTTATTCGCATATTTATTTTTTTCTATTTTCTTAATTTATTATTTTGTTATTTAATTTTATCTACTTTTACTTAATTTTGGTTAATTGGGTCATTTTATAAGGGCTTAGAGTGATTTGATTGCAGATAGATATTTTTATATATAAATCAATGTACAACAAATGGTATTAATAATAACAAATATTATAATAATAAAAAATTATAACAATAAATAAAAAAATTAAATTATAATAATAGAAACAATAATAATTAAATTAAATAATGATTTGAAAGCTATGCATGTAAAAATTTAATGAAACACTTGTAAAATAAATAATTAAAAATAAATAAATAGATATTAAAAAATAAGTAAAATAATAATAAATAAAAAATAAATAACCAAAAATAAATCAATTCGTAATAAAAAATAAGTAAATAAATTAATAATTATAGTAATAATAACAATAGTAATAATAATATTAATAATTATAATAAGAATAAATTAATATCGCAGTAATTTTAAACGCCCAAGTGAATCATCAAAGGGGACTTTTTGATCCTTCCTTGATGAAAACATTTCCTATTTTTTTTCTTTTTTTATCAAATTTTCCTCAGACTTTTTTCGATTTGACGCAAAAGGGAACTGTTCCACGCAAGGAATTTTTCTACACAAAATGTCTCTATAAATCTCAAAAGAAATTCTATTTCTAATTACAACAGTTTTCCAGAAAATGGCATTTGAAATTTATGTATTACAAGTCAAAATTATGTACTTGTGTTTATACCCTACACCACACTGTGGTCAGGGTATTATGTCTTTGTGCATTTGTTTGCAATATAGAGAAAGAAGCGGGTTAGACCCATAGTTGCTTTTGATGATCTGCTTGTAATTACATTATGAGTCGATTTATTCATGTCCGTCCGTTCGTCTGTCCATGTATTTTTGCAAAACAAAGTACAGATCGCATTTATTGCCCGATCAGAATGAAACTTTGCTCAAAACATTTCTTTGGTCCAAGGATGGCCCCTATCGAAATTGGTGATAATTGGTCAAAATTTAGATATAGCTTCCATATATATCTTCGCCAAATTTGTCTTTTATTGTGCACTAAATGTGTAATATTAGCCCAAATAGGAAGAAATTTGGCACATATAACGAAATTGAACCTTTGAAACAAGTATGTCAAATTTGGAGGAAATCAGTTCAGATATAACAATAGCACCCACATATTTTCCTCATCCGATTTGTTAAATTTCTTCCGCACATCGGTAATATATACTCCGTAACAACGGTATTCGGGGAAATATATCAAATACAGCTCGAAATAATTTTGCCAAATTTTATAGAGATCGGTTCAGATTTGGATATACCTACCATATATATGTTCACACGATTTCAAGTTTATTGTGCTCCAAATGGTTAATATTAGCCCGAATTTAAAGGATTTTACGAACGAATACCTCATGGGAGAAAGTGCATCAAATTTGACGAAAATCGGTTAAGGTATAGCTATAGATCCCAAATATATTTTTAATCCAATTTTGTATTTTACTCACTCACATCCGTTAAATACTCTCCACAAAAAAATTGGTGCCAACTCTCAGTTACAAAATAGAAATACCTCTGCTAAGTTTTATAGAGATCGGTTCAGATTTGGATATATCTTCATCCGATTTCACGTTTTGTGCCTAAAAATCTAATATCAGCTTAAATAGGATGAATTTTGATGAATATCGGTTCAGACAAATTTAGTTGAATACAATAGAAGCCTGTCGAATATTGGTTCCGACTTTGGCTTTTCTTTACTGGTTTACTGTTAACTCAATGCGTATCCAATCCGGGTCAAAATCTCTTCTTATACTCCATTTTTGGAGGAAAGTATCAATGTAAATCAAATCTAAATCTAAATCAAATTTTATAATGACTCTCTGAACCAATAAAAGCTGTATATTCAATATGTACCATGAAAAAATATCATACATTTTTGGAAAAAAAATGTTTTTATCTCTATGTGGGATATAAAATGTGAACCAATTTTCAACACATTTTGCAGGACGAATTTTCATTTAATGAAAATCCAAAATGCCAAATTATGGTCAATTCTTTTAAGAATTGGAGTTTGAATATTCGAAATATAAAATATTAGGAGGTATGGAGGCTTTACCAACTAATGTGCCTAATCTTTGCGTTTTCCACAGAAGCTTTTTATAGCATCTAAGAACCTAACTCGTTAAATTGTCTTGAATTAGTATTAGTATTCAGAAGTGAAAATGCTTCTATTGGATATTTTCCGCGGAAGCTTTTTATATCATCAAAGAACATGAAATGTCAAATTATGACGCCTTAAAATCCGAGGATCCCATTAAGGATAGAACCAGGGACGTACACTTAAATAAATACGGAAAACGATTTCCGGCGGCCCAACCTGCAAAAATTTGTATTTTTCGTGTACAGTGTACTAGAAATGTCAGAAAAATAAGCATTGTTTGGGACCCGGGTCCCAAGCCTCATCTTTATGATACATTGGACATTTTCGAAGATTTTACATCCTGACTGATTTGTTTGAAAATTTTGCCTAAAAAACTGAAATTTGTTTGAAAATGTTCTGGATCATAATTGAAATCATCGAAAATCCGGGAGTCCATTTGTAATAACAATCTTTCCGAATACATATTTTTTTTTGCCAAAATTCAATCTTATATTTTTAAGCTGACCAAAAAAAATATCTTTCTACGTAGTTTCAGATAAATATTTCGAGAGATTCCAAAGGAAATGGAAAGGTGGAGGGTATAATAATAAATTTATAATCTGCAATTAAATCACTTGTGCCCTCTGGCTGTTTATGTTTTGTATGTTTCCTACTTTTTTCCTCGTTATAATTTTGGTTGTTGTTTATTTAATATATACACATATATATTTCTATTTTTGTTATAATTATTTTTTATTGTTGTATATATGAACCAAAGAAATGTGTATTTTTTTCCCTTAATTTACTCTTGTTTGTTTGTTATTGAGTGTTGTTGTTATTGTTAATTTAATTGTTTTTGTTCCAATCAAACCCAGCAACACCCACTACTCTCCAAACATTTATATATATTTGTGACGAAAAAAATAAATCTAACCCGGTTTTGTATTTCACTATTTTCTCTTTCTCCATTTTTTTTCTCATCCTCCCCCCATATATTTCATGTTGTCTATATTTGTCTAAAATAATCGCTATTTAACCCGAATATCATGTTTGGTGTGTGTGCGTGCGTGTGTGTAAAAACAAATTTGACGCCATTAATCTTTTTTCGACCAAACAAATCGTCATCATCCATCATCTTTGTTCGTCATTATCATCATCCTCATCATCATGATCGTTATGATTTTAACTGATCTTGTATTTCAATATCTCACAAAATACGCACCACCCCATACATGACTGTCAACGACATCTATTGGCATCAATCTGTAAATGCTAATCATGCTCATCATCATTATGGCCAAACACACACAAAATGAACTCCCCCAATTTGTATTTGCTTGCCTTCTTTTGCTGGTGATATTGTGTAACAATAAATCAATTCAAATCCACAACTCTGCCGACCAATCATCCAACCATCATCCATCGAATACATCAACCTACCAACCAACCAACCATCCATCCACCACATCACCAACATCTTGGGGTATCTCTTCGTCATACCACTGTTGCTTACTGCCCTGCCTGTCATACAACGTCCTACAATTTGTAACAAAATTTCGTAATCTTCAAACCTCCAACACCGCTATTCAACCTTTTAATGTCTCCATGGCGGCGGCCGCGACTGCCATTCAACGCCTTTAAAATTAAATAAAAAAATGTGTGTTCTTTTCTGTTGCTGCTGCTGCTGCTGTCTTGGCCCCCATTGTAAACGATCACCGATCGATCGATCAATTGAACCACCACCATCATACTCAACAATTTCTGTGTCATCTCTACCACATTTGTTTTATTTTTTTTCGTCTTATTCTTCTGCTCGCTCACAATATTTTTTTGTATTTTTGCTTGAAATAACAAAAAAAAAAATGAATTGAACAACGAACAAAAACCAAATCTAGAGTAGTAGTACTGCAGGGACACTTGCGGTAAAGTATTGTATTTTCAGTTTCCAATATTGAGCTCATTACATTCAACCAGCTAGCCTAGTCCCCCCGATTCCTACCCCTTGTATCCCAGCAAGCCATTTATTTAGTTCTTTTTTTCTTAACTTTTGTTGGCCGATTTTTGAGCTTCTTTTTTGTCTTGCTCCTCCTCTACTGCCATTTTGTCACTTGTTTGAGCTTTGATTTCATTGCTGGCTGTTTTTTTTTTTTTTTTGGTTGGGCTGTTTTTTTCTTCTCTTTTTTGTGTGGTTTCTTTGTGATGACTTGCTTGAATCATTTTTTGTTGTTGTAGTTTTCTATTTCTATATTTTAGAAGACATTTATTACATTAGAAATATTCGTATATCCACTTTTGAGAGCTGTAGAAAAAAATACAGATATATGCGAAGATTTACAGATCTTTTATAAGAAGATGGACAGATCTTCTATGAGAATATCAGTCAGAAGATATTCTATGGAAAGATCGACGCACCTTCTGGGAGAAGATCGACAGACTTTCTTTGAGTAGATCTACAGATATTTTTGAGATCTACAGATTTCAGTGAGAAGGCCTACAGATCGACAGACCTTCTATGAGAAGATCGACATATCTCATAGGAGAATATCTGTGAGTAGATCTACAGATATTCTATGAGAAGATCGACAGACCTATGAGTACCCAGATTTTCTTCGGGAAGACCCAGAGGTCTTCATTGAAAAGAATATCTTCATTGAGAAGAATATAGGAGAATATCCGTAACAGGTTCGACAGACCTCCTAGGAGAATATCTGTGCCAAGATCGACAGATATTCTATCAGAAGATCGACAGACCTATGAAAATGTCTACAGATCTTCTTCGGGAAGACCTACAGATATTTATTGAGTAGATCGATCTTCTTCGGAAAAACCTAGAGACCTTCTTTGACAAGGTCGACAAACCTTCTAGGAGATGTACAGATTTTACAACTGTGAAAAGATCTACAGATCCTCTATGAGAAGATCTACAGATCCACTATGAGAAGATATAGAAGTAGATCTACAGGTTTTCTAATAGAAGACTTATTTTATCTGAGATAGGGCCATTATCTCCGAGAAAATTATGCCTGGGAGCCAATGTCTCAGAGATGATTAGCCCTCAGACCCATTAGCTCAGAGGTAATAATCCGCAGATCTATTATCTTTGGTGCACTCATCCTCCAGAAGCTTTATTTATGAGAAAGTTATATATCAGGTCCATTGTCTTTGAGGATCATAATCCCAAAGATAATAATTCGCTTGTACCATTATATTTCAGAAAATGATTCGTTCGAACCATAATCTTGGATGTTAATATACATCAGGACTATTGTCCTTGGACGTATGGGCCATTATCTCCAAAATAGTAATCCATCATGAGCATTGTGATCAACCCAGACCCTTATCTCGCAGACGGCGTGGTTTAGTTTAATAATGGTGCGGTTTAGTTTAAGAATGCGCAGCCACACGAATTCGACGACTGCTTCACTCGGAGACCATTGTGTTCGTCCTAGGATGAAATGAGAAATTTACAGATAGGAGATAGAAGCGAGAAGGAGAATAAGAGATTTATAGAGAGAATTATAGTTAGGGTGGATCTATGTCTAAGAACAACGTTAGAGTTTCCATTTCCCACCTGCCAAATACCCTATGTCTTCTGTTGGATAAAATGGGCCATGTGCAAAGTAGATGTTCAATCGTCTCTATCTATTCTTCATCTTCACATAGTCTACAGAAGTCAGGAATATTGTTGCCCCATCTTGAGTTAAAATATCCGATACTGCAGTGACCAGTTAGTATTCCCACCACTATTCTTAGAACAACTAAGTGATAGAGGGGAGTTTGTTCTTCTCCTCGAGATTACCGGCCATATGACCTTAGATGCCCTGCAATCGGTTTTCGCTGAAAAACATCATGATGTACTATGCCCACGAAACCACTAATGTGTGCACATCGAACTCGGGCGTCCGACACACTCCTCTTCGTTGTTTACATTTGCTCTCTTCCATTGCACAACCAATGACCATTTCTTTTTTCAGGGAATAGCTTCACAATATGTCACTTAATTTTCAAAATTTGCGACGCTCTGGAAACAAATCTTTCTTTTTCTTCGTGGTTTGCATTTTCTACATATGATTTCGTTGGTTTTTTTTTCAAAGTGGTAACGTAAAAAATCGAATACACCGTCGGACAAAATTTTCAAAATTCGTGGTTCTTTTAGCAACAAACATCTGTCCTTCATTTCGCCTATTTTTCTCTCTATCTGGATTTCTTACTTCTACTCCTTTAAACACTAACACCATTTGGACAAAATCGCCTTCTTCCCTTCAAAAATATTCATTCCCCATGCTTTCAGAATTTACAAGTTAATGTTAAGAAAAATGTCAAAATTCAATGCAATGTCCATGGTAATGGTGGCAGCGGTAACCTCACCACCAGTGGTGGTGACCACGAATGCTTAACAAATAATTGTCAAGATATAGAAAATGCAAAATTAACAGAAAATGCCGGAAATCGTTATGTATTTTACAAGGTATTCAAAAACTTAACAAAGAAAACAAAACTCTTTAAACCTAACCTTGAACTAAATTTTTCAAAATTAACCAAAAAAAAAAAAAAGAAACGAAGACATTGTCTCTTTTCTTTGACTCATTTAATGATAACTTCATTGTATTTTGTTTTTAATAATATTGTAAAAATGTAAATAATTATATTCCATTTAACACTATTAGCTTTGTATGTTCTTTAATTGTAGAATTGAATGTTTGTTTTTGCTCTAGTTTTGTTCATTATTTTATAGATCTGCTTTGTTTGTTTTTTTTTTTTCGCAGAAATCTATTGTTCTTTTTGTAGTTGTTGTTGTAGCTGTCTTCCAATAAAAGTATATATAAATATATATTAGTATGCCATACAAAAATATATTCTCTTGATTTGAATCGAATACTAATTTATTGATTTTCTTTTCTTTATTAATTTTCAAAATACCCTCTAGGGTGAGTTGGAGCAACAACTTTTACAAGCCAATCCAATTCTGGAAGCCTTTGGAAATGCCAAGACTGTGAAGAACGATAACTCATCACGTTTTGTAAGTATTCACTATATATTTCTAATTTTTTTTGGAACTGCACAATAGAATTTAAAATGATACTCTCATGAAACTGGGTCCGGGAAATTAGTTTTGGATATGAAATTTGTTTTGGTTAGTATATTAAGAATCCCAAAGAACAGATTCGATTTTTTAGAACTTTTGGATAACGAAAAATCTTTTCGTGTGGTACTTATCTTCCGGCTTAAGAAGTAAAGGTAAAAAATATGCCAAGTTCATAATGTGCTTTATGTTCCCATGCAAAAAATATGACACAGAAGTTCGACTAATGGTAAATTTTTTCTTCGGGGTTTTCAATATACTCACCAAGGACTTTCATCTTCAATTGGAATTTATCACCAAGCTAATTTTTACGGTTTTCAAGGAACTTTTCATAATTGTTTCAACTCATTGTTTAATCCCCTTCTAATTTTTATTTCTTCTTTCTCTCCCCTTTCCCATTTCAGGGTAAATTCATACGCATCAATTTCGATGCGTCCGGCTATATATCGGGTGCCAATATCGAAACGTATCTACTCGAAAAATCTCGTGCCATTCGTCAAGCCAAAGACGAGCGAACATTCCATATTTTCTATCAACTACTTGCCGGCGCCTCGCCCGAACAGCGGGAAAAGTTCATCCTGGATGACATCAAAACATATCCATTCCTCTCCAATGGCAATTTGCCGGTGCCCGGTGTCGATGATTTCGCCGAATATCAGGCGACCGTCAAGTCGATGAACATTATGGGCATGACGGCGGAAGATTTCAATTCGATATTCCGTATTGTGAGTGCGGTGCTATTGTTTGGCTGTATGAAATTCCGTCAGGAGCGCAACAACGATCAGGCCACGCTGCCCGACAATACGGTGGCCCAGAAAATTGCCCATTTGTTGGGTTTGAGTGTCACCGATATGACGCGGGCATTCTTGACGCCACGCATTAAGGTGGGTCGTGACTTCGTCACCAAGGCCCAGACCAAGGAACAGGTCGAGTTCGCTGTTGAGGCCATTTCCAAGGCCTGCTACGAACGCATGTTCAAATGGTTGGTGAATCGCATCAACCGCTCCCTGGATCGTACCAAACGTCAGGGTGCCTCCTTCATTGGCATTCTCGATATGGCCGGTTTCGAAATCTTCGAGCTGAACTCGTTCGAACAGCTGTGCATCAATTACACCAACGAAAAACTGCAGCAGCTCTTCAATCACACCATGTTCATACTCGAACAGGAGGAGTACCAGCGCGAGGGCATCGAATGGAAGTTCATTGACTTCGGTTTGGATCTGCAGCCCACCATCGATCTGATCGACAAGCCAGGCGGCATTATGGCTCTCTTGGATGAAGAATGCTGGTTCCCCAAGGCGACAGATAAGACCTTCGTTGAGAAATTAGTGTCAGCACATTCAATGCATCCGAAATTCATGAAGACTGATTTCCGTGGTGTGGCCGACTTTGCCATTGTCCATTATGCGGGCAAGGTTGACTACTCCGCTGCCAAATGGTTGATGAAGAATATGGATCCCTTGAATGAGAACATTGTCTCGCTGTTGCAGAACTCGCAAGATCCGTTCGTGGTGAACATCTGGAAGGATGCCGAAATTGTGGGCATGGCCCACCAGGCGCTTACCGACACCCAGTTCGGAGCTCGTACCCGCAAGGGTATGTTCCGGACTGTGTCGCATCTGTACAAGGAACAGCTGGCCAAGCTGATGGACACTCTGCGCAACACGAATCCGAACTTTGTACGCTGTATCATCCCCAATCACGAGAAACGCGCCGGCAAAATCGATGCTCCTCTGGTCTTAGATCAATTGCGTTGCAATGGTGTGCTCGAAGGTATTCGTATTTGTCGCCAGGGCTTCCCCAATCGTATTCCATTCCAAGAGTTCCGTCAACGCTACGAATTGCTCACACCCAATGTCATTCCCAAGGGTTTCATGGACGGCAAGAAGGCGTGCGAGAAAATGATCCAGGCTCTGGAACTCGACTCGAATCTCTACCGTGTCGGTCAGTCGAAGATCTTCTTCCGCGCTGGTGTCTTGGCTCATCTCGAGGAAGAGCGTGACTACAAGATCACGGATCTGATTGTCAACTTCCAGGCGTTCTGCCGCGGTTTCTTGGCCCGGCGCAACTATCAGAAACGCCTGCAACAGTTGAATGCCATACGCATTATCCAGCGCAACTGTGCGGCCTATCTGAAGTTGCGCAACTGGCAGTGGTGGCGCCTGTACACCAAGGTGAAGCCACTGCTGGAGGTCACCAAACAGGAGGAGAAGCTGGTGCAAAAGGAAGATGAGCTCAAGCAGGTGCGTGAGAAATTGGAGACACTCGCCAAGAGTACCCAAGAGTATGAGCGCAAATACCAACAAGCGTTGGAGGAGAAGACCTCATTGGCCGAACAGTTGCAAGCCGAAATCGAACTTTGCGCTGAAGCGGAGGAGTCGCGTTCCAGGCTGATGGCTCGCAAACAGGAACTCGAAGATATGATGCAGGAACTTGAAACACGTATCGAAGAAGAAGAGGAACGTGTTTTGGCCTTGGGTGTAGAAAAGAAGAAGCTTGAACTCAACATACAAGATCTCGAGGAACAATTGGAAGAGGAGGAAGCGGCCCGACAAAAACTCCAATTGGAAAAGGTGCAACTCGACGGCAAAATTAAGAAGTACGAAGAAGAATTGGCCCTCACCGAAGATCAAAATCAAAAGTTGCTAAAAGAAAAGAAAATATTGGAAGAGCGAGCAAACGATTTGTCGCAGACCTTGGCCGAGGAGGAGGAGAAAGCCAAGCATTTGGCCAAGCTGAAGACGAAGCATGAGGCCACCATCGCCGAACTGGAAGAGCGCATGCACAAAGATCAGCAGCAAAGACAGGAGACTGATCGTTCCAAACGTAAGATTGAAACCGAGATGGCCGATCTCAAGGAACAGCTCAACGAGCGCAGAATCCAAGTGGAAGAGTTGCAGGTACAGTTGGGTAAACGTGAAGAGGAACTTACCCAAACGCTGATGCGCATCGATGAAGAATCAGCCGCCAAAGCAGCTGCTCAAAAGGCTCAGCGTGAAATCGAATCCCAATTGGCCGAGTTGCAAGAAGATTTGGAAGCTGAAAAGGCTGCCCGTGCCAAGGCCGAGAAAATACGTCGTGATTTGGGCGAAGAGTTGGAGGCATTGAAAAATGAGCTATTGGATTCATTGGACACCACAGCGGGTAAGATGAGATGATTTTAAGTGTGGGTGAAGAATTTCCACTAATTGCTTGTTTTATGGATTTGTATTTTTAGCGCAACAAGAATTGCGTTCGAAGCGTGAACAAGAATTGGCCTCTCTCAAAAAGTCCCTCGAAGAAGAGACCGTCAACCATGAGGCCTCCATTGCTGAGATGAGGCATAAACATGTTCAAGAATTGAACGGCATTAATGAGCAATTGGAAAATCTGCGTAAAGCTAAGGCAGTACTGGAAAAAGCCAAATCCACATTGGAAGCAGAAAATGCAGATTTGGCCACCGAATTGCGCAGTGTAAATAGCTCCCGCCAAGAAAACGATCGTCGTCGTAAACAAGCTGAATCTCAGATAGCTGAATTGCAGGTAAATTTTAAAACTTTGTTGGGAAAAGAACATGACAGTGATGTGGATCAAATTCCACCAAACAAACCAAAATTTAAAAACCACAGAATCTCCTTCAATATTGAACACAGACTGAGTAAGAACAGCAGACCGACCAATCGATCTGTAGATCGACCAGTAACTGACTGATAGAATCACTTGTATGTGACCATGTAGTTGTCAACCATTTAAAAGGGGCTTTGTGGTTTTTGTTTACTGCCACAACAACAAGAACATCTGTCACTCATGCCCTACCATCTTGGGTAGTGCATTCCGCTCAGCCGTATAATGTGGTCTGGCGGCGGTGGAACAGCCATGTCAAGCATTTGTATTGAAATTGAAATCGAAATTGAAACTGAAGATCATCGTTTATTTTTCCAGGTGAAATTGGCCGAAGTGGAACGTGCTCGTTCGGAATTGCAAGAGAAATGCACAAAACTGCAACAGGAATCCGAGTACATAACAAATCAATTGGAGGAGGCCGAATTGAAAGCATCTGCCGCTGTTAAATCTGCCGGAAATATGGAATCGCAACTTGCCGAAACACAACAACTGCTCGAAGAAGAAACCCGCCAGAAGCTCTCGCTGTCGTCGAAATTACGTCAGCTGGAGTCGGAAAAAGAGGCGCTACAAGAACAGCTCGAGGAAGATGAGGAAACGAAAAAGAACTATGAACGCAAACTGGCTGAGTTGTCGGCTACCATGCAAGAGATTAAAAAGAAGGCCGAGGAAGATGCCGATGCTGTCAAGGAATTGGAAGAGGGCAAGAAACGCCTGAACAAGAGCATTGAAGATCTGGAACGACAAGTCAAGGAGTTAACAGCTCAAAACGACCGTTTGGATAAAAGCAAAAAGAAGATTCAATCTGAATTGGAGGATGCCACCATTGAATTGGAAGCACAACGCACAAAGGTAAGTGACCGACACATTCTCCTCTATTGTTCTTAAGATTTGACTGTTAATGATGATTTCCCCTTTGTCCACAGGTGCTCGAGTTGGAAAAGAAACAAAAGAATTTCGACAAAATCTTAGCCGAAGAAAAAGCCATTTCCGAGCAATACGCCCAGGAACGTGATACTGCCGAAAGAGAAGCCCGCGAAAAAGAAACCAAGGTTCTTTCCCTTAGCCGTGAACTGGATGAGGCCTACGATAAAATCGACGACATGGAGAACAAACGTAAAGCCCTCCAAAACGAACTCGACGATCTGGTGAATACCCAGGGTACAGCCGATAAGAATGTCCACGAATTGGAAAAAGCTAAACGTGCCTTGGAATCCCAATTGGCGGAATTGAAAGCACAAAATGAGGAACTTGAAGACGACCTGCAACTGACTGAAGATGCCAAACTTCGTCTGGAGGTGAACATGCAGGCCCTGCGCTCTCAATTTGAACGTGATCTACAGGCCAAGGAGGAACAGGCCGAAGAGAAACGCCGTGGTTTGGTCAAACAATTGCGTGATCTTGAGGCCGAGTTGGATGAAGAGCGTAAACAGCGGACCGCAGCTGTGGCAGCCAAAAAGAAATTGGAAGGAGATCTCAAAGAAATGGAAACCACCATGGAAATGCACAACAAGGTGAAAGAAGATGCCCTCAAACATGCCAAGAAATTGCAGGTTCAGGTCAAGGATGCCTTGCGTGAAGCCGAGGAGGCCAAGGCGGCCAAGGAAGAACTGCAAGCGGCCAGTAAAGAAGCCGAACGTAAGGTCAAGGCCTTGGAGGCAGAGGTAATGCAACTTACCGAAGATTTGGCCAGTTCGGAAAGGGCACGTCGTGCAGCCGAAACGGAACGCGATGAGTTGGCCGAAGAAATGGCTGCAAATGCCAGCAAGGGAACCCTTATGATTGACGAGAAGCGTCGTCTGGAAGCCCGCATTGCCGCCCTCGAAGAGGAACTCGAGGAGGAACAATCCAATTCCGAAGTATTATTAGATCGCAGCCGCAAAGCTCAGCTTCTGAACGAACAGCTGTCCACAGAATTGGCCACCGAAAAGTCCAATTCACAAAAGAACGAAAATGCCCGAGCCTTGTTGGAACGTCAGAACAAGGAGCTGAAAGCCAAGCTGGCCGAAATCGAAACAGCTCAAAGAACAAAAATCAAAGCCACCATCGCCACATTGGAAGCCAAGATTGCCAACCTCGAAGAACAGCTCGACAACGAGGGTAAAGAACGATTGCTACAGCAAAAGGCCAATCGCAAGATGGAGAAGAAGATCAAGGAGTTGGGCCTGAACATTGAGGACGAACGAAGACATGCCGATCAATACAAAGAGCAAATCGATAAAGTAAGACAATGGAACAATTTGCCAAGAAACTGAAAGAATATCAATATTTTTTACGATTCTTTTCTTTGCCACAGCTTAACAGTCGCATGAAATTGTTGAAACGCAATTTGGATGAAACCGAAGAGGAACTGCAAAAGGAGAAGACACAAAAACGCAAATATCAACGTGAATGTGAGGACATGATTGAAAGTCAAGAAGCCATGAATCGTGAAATTAACTCACTGAAAACCAAATTAAGGTAGGTTTGCCCTGACAGCATTCTTATAAGCTAATATTTATTTTGTGCGAAAATTTTTGAAATTAATTTCCACATTAGATCTATACAAGTGGCTGAGACTGAAAAAGCAAAAGCCTATTCACCCAAAAAGGATCCAACTCTTATTATGAATTGTGAGGGTATACAATAGAATAGAACAAATAATAATTATGTCTTAACGTCATCGTCCAGCGGTTTCCCTTTTTGTGAAGTTTTCCTTAAATCACCCAAAAAATAATTTTTGTTTTCCATCGTCTTATATTTGTCTTCAGTGTGTTTATGTTGCGTTTTCCGTGTAAGTTTTAATTATTGTTTTTAATTTGCATACAAATGCAAAGAGTTTATTTTCCAAAGTCCCCTTTATTGTTTAGTTTCTGGAATGTTTCCTTCCCCCCCAAACACACACACACACACGACCCAAACGATTACACAACTCTTCATGCACGTTGAACAGAACCCTTTGAGAAATCAAAAGGATTTTAGATTATTTTGTTAAATTGTAATTTTGTTTGATTCGTTTCTACTCCCAGCTCCCCATTGAATTTTTCCCCTGTTGCACGTTGTTTGATTTATTTTTTGATTATATAATTTATTTATTTACATATTTTTAATATAATTTTATTTTTATTAGCTTGTCATAATCATCAAAGTAAACAGGGTAGCCCTCCTTTACCGAGGGAAATACAAATTTTGTATTAAACGTATAGTTTCAACTTTTGAAAAGGTTGGTGTAATTTTCATGTGGCGTGATTGTCTCATGTGGCGTTTTGCAATTAGTAAGAGAACAAAGGATGCGTGGTTTGTCAATTTCACAAATCTTTTATATGTAGACCGATTATATTTATTGTTAGTTGGTTAATCTAACACAATACTGCATCATTCGAAAATGTTAAAGTATTAGGTTTTGTTTAAAGGGTCAGAAAAATGCCAAGGAGGTCTTCAAAAAATAGTAAGATTGCCATCGTTTATATCAAGGGTGCACCTATTTTAGACTCTTGAAGGATGAGCTGAAGAATGCGTTTGGAATTTGTCATAACGAAGGAGGAGATTGTTTATATTTCTCTCCTATTAGTCTTAGTTTTACTTATAAGCATTGGGCTATGACATATAAATTGGGCAATTGTTTCCATTTTATCTTCGCTGAACCTCTAATATTCATTATCAATACATTCCCATTTGTATGTCATGTCTGTTATGTTGCAGTAGCGTGCTATAACGTCCAACATAGGGAAGTAGTTTACGACTTTTAAGTGTTAGACACAATTCCGTGAGCATCGTTAAGTGATCCTTGACTTGAACTATCGATGAAATTTTATGTAGCGCAATTCTATGTAGTGTTTGGTTATCAGAAAGAATCTCTGCCCAAATGTCACTCGCCATTTTGAAGTGCTTGCCTAGGATTATATCAAGTTTTTTGAAGTTCATCTGGCGTAATATGACTGGTTTAGTAATCTCTTGGTCACTGGTTTAAAATCCACGTTCCATAGAATCATTTATATGTAGAGCTGGACCCACGAACTTGGTTCTGTGATGCTCAAGCCACATGCTTGTTCCTTTACAAATAAATCTCATGGTATAGTACGGCTTTCTGGTCGTCTTGTGGGTTGATTTTAATAGATAAACGTGAAGCTTTAGTCGGTGAAAATCGAATATCTACATAATTTCGACTGAGAACCAGCTACTACTAACTAACTTGCGCTACTACTAGTTAAGGCTTTGCAGAAATTATCCCCAGACTTTTGCCCTGAACCCAAACAGACAGCTGTACTAGAACACATTGTATTATAACTAAAATAGTTGGAAGAAATCTACAACCTATCGACACTACTACGTCGATGAAGTCGATAGACGAATACCTTTATTCTTACTTGGTCGTGATTCACTAGTATTTTACTGATCTTCAGTAGCCAAAACAGGGGTAATAGAATCCTCCCTGTGGTGCAGCAGAACTTAAACTGAATTCAATTGGGATAGAGGAATTACCAGAGACTTAACGAGTGTTATGGATCGGCTCCAGCATCACATTGTTGAAATCCCACTGTAGATCGAGGAAAACTGCCGCTAGGTTTCGTGGCTTTTGGAATATATGTCAGTTTTACCTCTTACCAAAGACTGAGTGCAAAGATAAATTTGAGACAGGCCTTAAAGTTTCCCTGCAAGATAGACAACATCGACTCGGATGCCTTTGCCGGTATTATACCATCAGAACCAGAAGAGACTTAAACGGCTGAACGGAGATGATCGTCCATGAAAGCTTGAGATAGATTGCAATCCTTTATATTAGCCTTTCATCTTCCACAGTGTGACGTAGGAAAGATATTATTGATTGCTTACTTCCACCTACATCCTTACAACCAGGGAAGAGGTTGCCTCATAGAAGTTCCAGATTCTTTAGACCAGAGTTGGCCTATGTTTCATCATCATTATACTTCTCCCTATAGACTCACAGGAGCAGATTCAAGGTTTACGTTGGGCTGTCTTGAACCCACTTTTCTTCTTACTTGATGAAGTCAGACTTATATGCGATTAGTTTAACTGGATCTCTGTTATATGACCTCCTTGCTGTTCTCCGAAAAATGGCAGGGTCCATAGTTCTCCAAACCGGTTGGTATTTTCTCCAAGTGTAGTTAATTGGACAAAAATTAAGAACACTTATTACAAGTTTATTGGATTTTATTCAAAAAATAATTTTTATAATTTTATTTCAATGAAATACTTGTTAGTTCTTAGTTCCACCATCTTCGTTAAAACCTACAAATTTTATAGTTATGTTTTATTCAGAAAAATATTGAAAGTGGCTGTATTTTTTGAAGCGTTGCCCAAATGTCCTTTTTTCTCCTACACCCTAGGGTGTATGTTTTCCATCTCTGAATTTATTTTAGTGTGAAAACTGTATGTTTTTAACACCATAAACTTTGTCAACACTTACAAGTATATGCAGTCATGTTTTCCTTATACAAAAAACGGCATGAATTTAATGGTTACGTTTCCCTCATATTTTGTATCAATATTTCCTTTCACATCGTACTAATTGTATATTTTTGTTTTCTTTTTCATTTTACAGGCGCACCGGCGGCATGGGTCTAAGTTCGAGTCGTCTCACCGGCACACCATCCTCCAAACGTGGTGGTGGCGGCGGCGGTGATGACAGCTCAGTACAGGATGAATCTTTGGATGGTGAAGATTCGGGCAATTAAATTTATAAATGGAAGGAAACCAACAAAGCTAAACCTGGAAAAAATCTATAATTATTTTTTAAAGTTTATTAATTTCTGTTAATTTTTTTTATAAAATTTTACTTATTTTTTATTGATATCCATCCTTTTCCCCCATACACACAGTTAAGATAAAAACACAATCCAATTAAAACAAACAAACAAAAAAAAAACAAAGCTTAAACTAATTTCTTTGTATAAAAAAACAAACAGAAAATAATAAAAAAAAAAAAAAAACAAAAGAAAAAATGTTAAACGAAGTAAGAAGGAAAACAAAATCAAGTTTGTTTCTTACTACTATTACTACTAGAGTCCTCAAGCCTCCCAACATATTGTGTCCCTCTTTAATCCATACATATAACATGTCTTGTTCCTTTTGCCTGTGTCCCCAAACTTCTTAGACTCATTCCCTTGAAAAAGAATATTTTCACTTACCACACACCCACACATTCACACACACACACACTCCCACACACAAAACAATCCAATTAAAAAAACGAAATAATAAGTAAAAAAGTACATCTAATTAAAATAATAATAATAATTAACTACTTAAAGTTATTAATTAATAATATATACATATATAAAAATTATAAAAATTTTTATAAAAAAAGAAGAAAAAATTTATATTAAAAATCAAATAAAAAAGTATTGGAAAAAATGCATTTATATATAAACAAAATTAAACAAAAAAAAACTCTTCTTTTATTTACGCCTTTGGTTCTTCATCATTTTTTTTTTTTCATTATTTTAATATCTGTATGTAAAAAACATACCACAAAGTCTTCCAAAATGTAGACTCGAAAGTAATATAATATTTTTTTAAAAGATTAGGTCTTATTCAGTAAAACACTGAGATATTACATTTTGACTTTGCTAATTGTTGTTACATATAGGATCTCGTCGAAAAAAGACACTTGATATTCTTTTTAGCAGAAAATCGATGGTTCCAAAGCGAGACATTTCCGTTCGAACTTTCTCAGGCATAAGATTCCTGGAAATCTAAACAGGGCAGACTGTGGTAATTTATTGATCTTCGAAGCCTTGTGTCTATGGTGGCTTTTCACAACAGACGGCTAGCTAGGTCAATACCCCCTCTTGCAGTCTGTGTGATATGTCCTGGGAGAAGGATGTCTCTTTAAAATTAATATAGCTGCGATTCAAACTTGTTTCCTTATCAATCTATCTCGGATGCCAATCGGAATGCTTTCTGAGCGATTAGACACATAATTTGTATTCGCCGCACGTTAATCCCTGTGCATTTCCGCCATATATTCAATGTAGATTTGACTTAATAATCGTGAAACTTTTTTGGCAACAATTTTTAATGGGTGTTCTTAAACAAAATTTGCTACAAAAAATCCAAAATTTCCTGGGCCTCCTCAAACACAATTTGACCCACATCATGGGTTACTTCAGATATTTTTTTAGTGAAAAAAAAACGTGGATTTTGGAAACAATTTGTCCCAAAAATTATTAATCTAATAGTGGGCAGGCAGTCTTCTCATATAAAAATATTTGAAAAAATTTTTGTACCAATAATTTGGTCCAAAACTTGAGGGTCTTCTGTTACACAATTTGGCTAACGAAGGAGGACATTTGGTATTCGATAGTATTTTTTAGAGGAAACTTGGCCTTATATAACAAGGACTTCAACGACACAAAAAAACTATTGATTTGCTTAGGGAAATTTTGACCCCACACTCGTAGGTTTTCTTATACCAACATTTCGACCTATAAAAATGTGGTAAAATAATGTAAAAACTATAAATAGGAGATTATCTTACATTAAGAGTTGACTGAACAGCTGTGGCATTCTTATAGTAAGTGTTAAAAAATTGAAACAATCGTAGAAATTTTGGTCCATCCGTAGATATATATAAAATTCCCCCGGAAACAGGTATTGGATGCGTAACTGGCTGTTTACTATTGTCACTTCACTGTACGAAGCACAACCCAAGATCAGCCTTAAAAATCCCCTCCTGCATAGTTAACACCAACTCAGATTTAAAGGATTGAAAGGTGTGATTGCTCTACGTTGTGTGATGTAGAAAGTGTTAATGTTTGTTCACTGCCAACTACCCTCATAGAGATCAAGAGTCAATGGACTAGAATTTGTCCAAGATCTACGTTTGGCCATCTTTAACTATCTCTTGTACTTATTGATGTCCGCCTTATTTTAATCAGTACTATGTTTAGTTTTGCTGACTGTGTTATATGTTGTAATATATTGCTGTTTTCCGAAGAATAGCAAGGTCCTTAGTTTAGCAAACCGGTTGGGATTTACTTGGAGGATGGCCTATAGGATGATCATAGTTTCAACGTTTGGTTGTTTTGTTTTTGTTTTTTTTTTTATATTTGCATACTTCCAAGAAGGTTGCCGAAATAGGGGAGCCGATACCATTGCTACGGTAAGGATTCGGTGACTAAGCTTGTATTCCTGACGTTGGGCCGGTAATCTTAAGGCTAGGTGCTTAAACCAGTGTGACTGACATCGGGTATTTCCTTCAAAACCATGCGGATATAATTTAAACCATTTTAATTCGAAACTGCAAATAATACCATCTGTAATTCTTTGAAATCGACTTAGAATTCAAACAATATCCATCTGATGAAATCACAATACAGCCCGCATTATTTGACGTAGAGCTTCAATATTTGGCAGAACAATTTGTATTGTGTCTAGGATGGTTGGTGTTGAAAATGATATATCGGTCTGCGTTTTGGTATGGCCCCCATATAACGGTACCTCCCTATATTCGGTATCTTGATTGTTTTCGCAATATTTTTCCATGAATTTGTCTAAAAATTGGTAATTGTAGTTTATAATGGCTTCTAGCTCAAATGGCGAACCTTTGTATGTATAGGCCCACGTTTTCCTATAGCGCACATATAACGATACCCACCGATATTCAATATTTTGATAATCCTTTGTTTGAATTCACATACTTTTATAAAAAATTGTTTTCTTCACCCAACAGTGGAGGGTATAAAATCAATTATCAATTTTAAATTGGAATTATTTAATTTGTAATTACAAAAAAATCCCCGAAAGCAGCTATTTAATATATTAGTATTGGTTCTGGTTGGATCAGATATGCTCCCAGAAGGCAGGACATTTTTATTGAAATTAGGTACACAAATCGTGATTTTATTATTCTTTTAAATTGGACCCACCATAGATTTCATGGATAAAATTTTGCCGGACAATATTGAGTTTTTGAAGTCAGAATTGAAACCTACCATTGTGGGTTTTGTAGGCCAAACCCGCAGTTGCCCAAAAATGTGAGATATATTTTTCTTTAAACACCGGCTAAAAGAAAAAAAATGATTTTCATTATTTTTCCATGCATGGATAGACACCGATACCCAAATTTAATCTAATCAGAGACATCATATATTTATGTCCTCGATAATTTGATCCCTAAAACGCAAGAGAAATTCACATTTTTCATCTTTAAAAGTCATTTTAATATATATTTTGGATAAATTATTTTTTTCTTTTTTGACTTTATCATATATTATTTTTTTTATTAAAATTTTTTTTATTAAAAATAACGAACTCGCAATTGTATTTTTACAAAATAGAAATAATAATTGAGCTACACTATGGACTAATTTGCTTCGTAGATATACATGGTCTATAAAATAACAAAAAAATGAAAACGAACTCCATAAAACTGATCTGATATTCCTTAAAAGTAAATAACAACAAATCAGCAAAATAAACAATTAATGTATAATTTTTATTGAATATATAATTATGTAAAAAAAAACACTTTTAAAAAATTCTTTAAAAATACGAAAAAAAAATAAATAATATGTATGTATTTATATAATTATTATGATTACTACTACAACTACTGTGAGTTATTGCAACATTTAAATCATCTTCATGGTTTTCTTTACAAACGAATTTATTGCCATCAATCATTCAATTAAATAGAGGATACGAAAATCATCCATAGATAACATCATGATAAATTTCCACATACACACCCGCATACATCATTAGACGACAAAAAATAGCAACTCAACTTCTTCATATGCATATAAACACAAGACACTCATTTCTAGAAGATACAATAAAAAATGAAAAATAATTAAAAACTAAAAAAAAAACAAAAACAAAAAAACACACGCATAAAACCCTAAGGAAATCATAAATTTTGTTATACTCAATAAAACAGAAAATATATAATTGTATGGAATTTCTATTCGATGCTATGAGGTACTCGCCGAAGCTTGTTAACATATTTCAGCGTATTGCCAAAATACGCAGGTCCATATCGTAATATCTATCAACTAAAAATGTAGTAAAAATGGTTCATTTTTAACTTTCATCCAATTATTGTATTTTCCAATTACAAACATTCACATTTTTTGTATTATTCACTTATATTTTCAAAACGCAAAAAAAGAAATTGTTCAACTTTGAAATTTTGTACGTCCGACGTATTTGGGTAACATGCATAAAAATATATTTTTACTACTTGGGTGGGAGCATAGTCGACTTAATACGTCGAATTTTGGGTAACGCTGTTTAGTTTGAATTTTTGAATTTGCTTAATATATGTGTGTGGCGCCCAACGTAGGTCACATGCATTAGTTATACATCGCTTGAGAGTATGGTATGATAATCGGCTCAATTACGGTTGTCGTTTCTATAGTCGTCGACGTTATGTGGTATTACGGTAAGGCATGGAAGCGACATCGACAATTTAAAAAAAAGTTGGCAACACTCCCTTGTTGTTGACAAAAAAGATTGAAAAATTGTTTTTATTTTTTAATCTTAGTTTCTTCTCTTTCGGAAAAAAAAATAAAAAATATATTGAAAATGAATATAATCTTAATTTCAATTGAGGATAAAGAGGAGAATGGATTAGTAGAGCATTAGTATTAGTAGTGCTAAGACAGCAAACAAACATATTTGCATTGCTTGACTCCAAGTAAGTACATATTTTAATTAATTTAATAAAAAAACATGTACTTAATGTTTCTCTTAGACTTATAAATTACTTCAGGATTGATAAGGACTGCTTTCAGCATGTTCTAAAGTTGCAAAGTGAGCACCGGTCATTGGCTATTAGGCCCGAAATCAGATTCGACAGATCATTGAGGTTTTTAGCGCTAGGATCTTATCAGAATAGTGTCGGAATGTCTTCAATACCTTCAAATTGTTTTGCTGTTGTTATTTTCATGGTCAAATACAAAATGGGTTCAATATCAACGTCGACTTAAAAATACAATGTCGCCACAATTTTTTACGGCGACAGATGTTTTCAAAAATCTACTTTACGTCGACTGTTGTATCGAAAATGATAATAGCAATCATTCATCGCTATCGACAAAAAACGACAACCCTAATACCGTTAATGTCGTTTTGACTTCATTTTGCGACGACGACGTCGACAACGGTAATAGGGCCGAGTATTTTGTAGTCCATCCAAGATTGTATATTCTTTGAATATACATATTGACAAATAAGAGATTGTCAAAGGCATAATTTTGAAAGAATAAAATGTAAACATATACTCGCACATGGCAAACTTGATAATTCCGCCATGAGAACCTATTAAGGTTTTTTGCAATGGTGTCAAAGGCATGCTTCATGATAGAATGATGAAAGTAATGTTATTTCAAATAAGCATATCCATCTCTGCATTTTCTGTAATTTAACCTGTGAACTTACACAGTGTAGAAAAAAGGTTCCAATCATGGTACAAAAAAAAATCAAGGTAAAGCTATGATACCATATGATTTTAATTTTTTTATTTTCTTGGCTTAATACGTCATCTTTATTTGCTTATGTTGTATTCTTTTCAATAATATAATTTTTTTCAGAAAATATTCAAATTCCGTTGTTTTCAAAATGCTTATTGCAACGTATGCATCAACAAAATCTACAGTTTTTAGCGAAATAAACCTTTAGAGATATTGAGAACATGATTTTAAAAAGAAATGTTGAATTTTCATTCAGTTTTAGCGGTTTTCAATTATTTATTCAAAACCAATGCAACAAATTGTTTGCATTGGTTTTGAATAAATGATAGTACGTATGACATTAATGGCCAAATAGGTAGACCTCTAACATGCATTTTTTTTTAAAGTTAAGGTGGGAATACATAAAGCTTCGGAAATGAAAAGAGTATGACTTTACCTTCTTAATTGGGTACCAACCTTGGGTATGCCTTTAATAAAATATAAATTTTAAACATGTATTGTTTAATAATAATTTATCTGCGCATTTTAAGCATGAAACAAAAAAAACTCGTAAGCCCTGGTCATCAGCCTAAGAGGAGATTCTACTTGAACTTTGGGAAAAAAATATGGGTATGTTTCGAGTAGCCAGAAAAAATACCATATATGTACATGAAAATATCAGAACAGACAGACATTTTGGTTATATATATATTTTTGGTCGTTTTATATATTGTTCAGCATATTTTGCTGACTTTCCTGCCGATAGCAACATTGGAAATAAAATGGAGTTAAAATACAATTTTTCAAAATTTTTAACGGACCCGGGACCCTGGATTTTTCACCCGAAAGTCCGGATTCAAGCGCCGGGTCGAGTTATCTGATATAGACAATATAAGTATCATTCGACCTATCCAACAAGTGGCCACATGATGAGGTAATTTTAAAGCGGTTCGGAAGTTATAGTCAAATTATTGATTTTTTGGACCTGAATTTTTTATAAAAACCTCAAAAATTTCGAAAAGTTGCCAATTTGTGCTAATACCTTTTTCTGGTCCAGAGATATAGTCTTCCTGGTACGTTCAGCCGGTTACGCGAACTAAAGTTTATTTTTAAATATAACAGTTATTGTAAGACCTTCGGCCGTGGCTTTAGATTTTCTCCCCTAGGTATGTCCCACACAGGCTAACGCGCACCCAATTTTCTTAATTTTACACTTTTATAATTTCAATGACGGCTACGCGATATAAACCTTCTTTTTACTGAAAACATAATTTTAATGAACTGGTTAAAATCGGGTTATGTGGGTAGGAAGACCCATTTCAAATTGTACCATTTTGGAAAGGTAAGAGTGTCAGCAATAATTTGGCATCATTTGGGTTGACCCCCATAATAGGCCCCTTTTTGATATTTTGGGGGTTTTATAAAAAATCTGGGTCCAAAAAATCGATAATTTGATTATAACTTCCAAACCGGTTAAAAAGTGTGACCAATTGTTGGATAGGTATTTTCATAAGCTTTCCAATGATACCTAAATTGTCTATATCAGGTAACTGGATCCGGGTCTAGTCGGGGTCTTGAGCCCGGGGGTAGGACTTTGAAATTTTCGATAGTGGAGTAGAATTTTGTTTTCCATAATATTTAAAAGCATTTATTCCAAAAGACGATTTTCTTTTTGTTTAATAAATCTAAATTTTTGCGATTTCACAAAAAATTTGTATTTAAGAGACAGATTTACTTTACTGCTTGTTATTGTACGTAAAACGTAATTCGTTATTTCTTGAACAAACAGCTGTTGCGGCGTGTGGCCTCTTCCACTTGCATACAGAGCATGGTAGAAAAATACAGGTAGATGCATCAACGCTTGGGAACATTGATATGTCAAAATTATTTTAGTTTCTTTTCAAATGTAAGTAGATTTTTATATGTTTTCTAATACAACGTCGTTTGGAGGTTATTATAATGCGTGCTTTTCAACGATTTTTACAAATTTAAATAACTTTTCATTCAACATTTTCAATTCCAAAATTGGTTTGACAGTTCATTGTCCCAGCAGCTGCGTCGATGCGTCTACCTATATTCTTCTACCATGATACAGAGTACACAGAAAGCACAAAGCCGTTTACACCGGATAAGCCGCCGCCAAAAATTTGTCTTGCTTTGTTGTCTGGCTGTAAGCCAACCCCCAAGAAGAAGAAGCATTTGTTTTGGTTGGGAACGTCTTGTTTGATTCGTGTTGTAATGTTTGTGGCCCCAGAATTTTATTTCGTTAAGGAGAGAACAACTTGGATTGCACAATAACAAATATAATTAGCCAAAGCTACATACAGAGACAGAGAAACGAGTTGCAAACTTGTTACAGTAAACATCATAATCCATTGGACTAGCCAGTCAAGTTTCAGTGAATTTCTTGGTGACAGTGTAAATACACTTTCTTTTGTTTGACTGAATGCCTTAATTGAATTAAAAACAAGAATGCGAAACCGCACTGACAACAACGGTGGTTACAGTTCAGAATTCAGCAGCAGCGATGAAGATACCCAGCTGAAAAAAGTCCACGCCCGTATGTGTGGCGTTGGCCATCAAAGGAACACAGATATTGTACCGAGGTAAGGATAAGTGAAAGTGTTTTCAATTTGAACTTTGATATTTAAGGTGAATAGATGTATAGGTTTTTGGCATGTCCTACGTGTCTCAATTCTATAAGCCCCAAGAAAGCGCAAAACATGAACAATCGAAATGTATTTCCTGGCAAAATTAGCTGTCTATTGATAAGCTGATGAGGTAGCAATGGTGACGAATCATAAATTCGACACAAAGTTCACACAGGCGGTTTTTTGGAATTTTAAAATAGCCCACATACGTAATGTGACAATTAATTGTACGATAAGGGCCATTGGCGAGATATGATTATGATCGTTGGTAACAGAGAATATTTAAAAAATGTACTCTAAGTTTATAAGAACTTTTAAATGGTCTCTGTACTCTTCTATGAAAGTTCTTATGAATGTATTTCTTGCTTAAAAGTGCATATATTAAATTAAACTCCCTTCTGTGGACTTTTCTGTAAAATATAATTTTACTGCCCAGATTTTCGTTAGAATATCTTGTGTTCTGGAAGTTCTAAAGGAAATCGATATATTTCATGGAAGAACTTTGTTAAATCTAGAATATCTTCTATAAAATACACTCTGAAGACACTCTTTGTCTTCTATAGAAGATTTTAAGAGGTCTATTATTGAAGGCCTTATATAGAAAGCTCTTAAAAGAAAGTTGTCTAATGAAGACCTTTAGAGGGACTCTATTATAATGAAGACTTATGAATATATTTCATTGAACATCTTCTGACGATCTTCTTCTACTGACGACTTTTACAAGTACTTCCCTTTATAAGGTCTTCTGTTAAAGACCTTTATGACTACATAGGGTATATCGC